TGTGTGGTATTGAAGTATAAAACATCATATAGCCTTGCCGTCATACTTTGGAACAAAAATACTCTTATTTTGGATGGAGTGCCACGTGGCAGCACCAGGTTAAAACAACCCATTTCTTTTTCTTCCCGATTCGTTTTAAAAAAGTACACCACCCGACCCACCCAAAAGTGGTGACAATTGAAGTTTTTTTATGTGCAAAATTCAAATATAGTTTATAATAAAAGTGAATATTGGGATATATTTTTATAATAAAACACTGAAAAAGCACTAATGAATTTTCCATATAAGCGCAATTTTATAACATTATAAAGCAGAATGTAAAACAATTTTTGGTTAACTATGTAGTATGCACTATAGAAAATAAAAAATGGTGAAAGAAAATAGTAAAATATTTGTGCACTCCCATTAGAGCCGTTACTTATAATTCTAATATTGTGTTGTGTCTGTTGACCAAATTAAATCATTCCTTTTTTTTTTGTAATCATCATTCCTTTCTTATCTATTTGATTGACAAGAAATTTACGAAGTTTAGATTGGGTGGGTCGGAAGGTGGATTTCTTTAAAACGGATCCGGAAAAAAAAAAGATTGTTTTAATCTGGTGCTGCCACGTGGCACTCCATCCAAAATAAGGGTATTTTTGTTCCAAAGTATGACGGCAGGGGTATAGATAACCCAATAATATAACGAGGGGTATTCTTAGACCATTTTTGAAAGAACAGGGATATTTGGCCCTTTGCCGAATATACAAATACTGTAACCTGGACTTTAGACACATAGCAACCATGATAATATATACTTTCCTCTCCTGACCTACTAGCTGTGCGTTTCTGTTCAAAATTGACTCTGGAAAATTAGAAGATGCCGCTGTAATTTTAGTAGGAACTTGAACTCGAATCAGAATACAAAAGAAGCCACATTCATGGTGGTTTCTTGACATCATGAGTCTTCATTATATCCTTGTTTTCTTTCACTTAAGATCTTTGTTGCCAGTGGCCTATACCTGATGCCAGTAGATTTTAGCATCTACAATATCTTCCTCTTGCATTTAGTAACAGGTTCTTTCTTAATGTTTCTAATCCACAGTTTTGAGTTGCAATCTTTGTTCTGTGAACTCTAAATTTTGTGACAACCAATTAAGTAGTGAAAGTTCCACAGCCAAAAATCATATTCTTTTATTAAGATCCTACTACTGGAAAGAAAGCTAGACGTTGGGTACACTGGAAAAACAGAAAGATACATCAAAATATGAGTACACATACAACCAATAACATGTAATAAGGCACTAGCAAAGCTGCTACTAACATGGAGTGCCAGCTCCTTCAAAGCTCTTGCGCAGTGGCAATTTTTGGAACCCACATTATATTATCTGATGGAGAAAAAGTGACAGATAGGTGATGTTCATGCAATATTCCAAGCACACTGAAAGAGTCTCAAAGCTACTGTTTCGAACCCATAACTTTACCATCAGAATGGAGACCTTATGAATATTCCAAGCACACTGAAAGAGTCTCAGAGTTATTGGTTCGAGCCCATAACTTTACCATTAGAAGCGAGACCTTATGGCTACTGAATTGTCTATTTGGGAATGCATGCACAACATACTACATTTACAGACATTCCACATAACCTCACGTCTTGGCTAATGAATTATCTCTTTGGGAATGCACAATAACCCACAGCATAGACATTCCACATCATAGAAATAACTCTATGCAGAGAGCTACATGTTTATATGCGGCTGGAAAATCATGTCATAACTCATCACGTAAACTAGACAGGTCGATGGTACAGCTAAATTGAGTTCAAGAATCAAGATAGCAAGTATGGGTAAACAGAAACTAACAGCAAGAATGGAAGAAAATTCCAGGTAAAAAGGAAAGAATCAGACTAATCCATTCTGACTATATTCTATACTAATTCTTACAAAGTTTTGTCATTTCTAGAAGGCAACTTCCGGATGCAAGATATAGCAATCAAAATGAAGCTGATCGTTTCAAGACAGACTTCAGTTGCTTGTCTTCCTCAAGTGCAATCATTCCCAAATGAGATGGGTCTTCAAGCATCATCTTTGCCACCAAATACCCAGCTATTGACCATGTTTGGTATTTACGCGCTTGCTTGCCTATGAATCGGCCAAGTTTTCCATCATAATATTCAGGCCACCCATCCTTGGACAACCGAAGTTCAGCAAGTTCAATGGCACGTCTTGCAATCTGAGGCCTCCCGGTCTTGATACACGCTGCTGTGAGGAGCCATAGTAGCACTGTAGCCAGGGACAGAATCAAATATGAGAGAATGCTCTACACAATCTTAGAGAAGATATAAGACTACTAAAGAATTCATATGGCAAGTCAAGATCTCTTTTTTAATAATTCTTAAGCTTTTGATCGTTGTAAGACCATCTAAGCTGAATTTGAATGGAATTTCTTGATAAAGGCTCAAGATAGGCCATATAAGGAAAAACACAATAAGTAAATACTATACATGAGATGAGCGGCACATCCATGAAAAGAAACTTTTCCGTCATTGACAGCTTCTAGAGAATTGAAGACCCAGTTTTAGGCAGTTTCAGAAGTCCTTGGGTTTGTTTTACAAGGAACTAAAAGAGTAATTCAATAGCTCAACCAAATTACATTTTTCAAATATGATTAAAATAACCTTCAAACTATAATTAAAGAACATTTTGCTATTCCCTGAGATGATCATCACTATTCTATTTCAAACTTCAGTATACAGCCAGGAACAAATAGGTACCTGGCCATGATCCCCCGTTGTGGTAGCTCCATCTAGTGTTTTTTGGATCACATCCGGTTACAATCCGCCACTCATGACCCTCTATAGCCGGATAACAAACCTTCAAAGGCATCTCTCCTACCAATTCATGCCAACGTGACTCAATAAGATCCATGATCTTAGTTGCCTGTTCTTGGGTTGCTAAGCTAGATAAAATTGCAATACAGTTGCCCAAGCAGAACCAACGGAAATCCATGTTTGAAGGACCAACATTTCCAATGAAATAGCCACCACAAACTGGCATGAAATCAAAAACCCATTCTGGTAGAGAATCAGGCATGATATTAAACTTGTTGACTGCTGTGTGGGAATATTCTTCAGTTTTATATCTGTATATGTCATTAAGTTGCTTTAAGTCAAGCCAAAAGTAATTTCTCATGTGATAGCTCAACGCATGCAGTCTCTTCACAATTCGTTCTATGAACTCCTTCCCTTCAGCGTCATGCTTGAGTAAAAGAAGTGCACACCTTAAAGCCATGAAGAATAGTGCTTGTATTTCTATTGGGTATCCATAAACACCCTGATAATGTTTGTGTATCACAAAGTAGTCAGTGAAACTTCAGGGTAAAAGTGCATACTTAAGCACAAAAGATATAGAAGAACTAGTTTCTTTTAGTTGCAGCAAATGTTTGCAAATTGTGCTATGCAGATGTAAAGGTTAATATGAGAGAGGGAGAGATAAAGCGAGATCTGCATATGAGAAATGTTTAGGAAATTCCAGACAGAGATACCACTTATGTCTCAATATAACTAGATGAAGAGGTAATCAGAAAAATGACGCTTATATGTGTGGTATGTGAAAGCATTCTAGGGACATCATCAATGTTGGTCATTCAGTTCAGCTGATAGTATTTATTGGATAATTTTGTATAAGAACATTCCAAATTGAATTAGCAATTGGAAGTTTGGAACAAATCTAACACCTCTGACGCAAAAAAAGAATTGAGCTCCAACTTCCCACTCCTTAATTTGGTAAAATACTAACATGAGAGTGATGATTTGAGTTTGCAAGGATGACAACCCTCCTAACTTGAATTTACAACCACCATAAAACTTCAGTATACCAAACATATGGAGACCTGTCTGTATCATTTCAGGACAGTGAAAACAAGCATAAACAAGAAGGAAACTCACCATTCTACGATCTATCATACTGCATCCGTCGGCACAAAGAAGAGTTGGAAATGTGTCAAACCCCTCTGAAAGGCATAGACTGAGTATCAGGCGCATACCCTTCTGGCATTCAGGCATCTCAGATAGGGAAGTGTCCCCTGTAGACTTTGTGTATGCACGAAGTAATATAATCCACCAAAATCCAGAATCAACAGGAGCCACTCTTCCTATTGCACTCTCACCAAAATCTGCGATTAATGTCTCGGTATTCCTAACTGGATCATGGAGTACTTTGAAACTAGCTGGCATTACACCTTCTCCCAATTGGAATCGATCTATCTTTTTCTCCCATGATTGAAGACGAAGAGTCTTCAAGATGAAATTCTTCACAATTTCTGCTTCCCCATTCATTAGAAAAGCAAGCGCACTTGGAACAAAGTCTCTGACAAACACCTGAAGTTATAGATGGCTGTTAACAAACATCTTGATCATGAATAACAACCACAACAGAACTTTTGTACAACTTACTCTTCCAAATGCCACAAATGAGAATCACTTTTTCATGTCTTTAGAAACATTTATTTAATTACAAACAATCATATTAACCAATGATTTTTGGAATAAGTCAACTCAATTGCTCAGTGGACCAGACTTCTTTTTGACAGCATATAAAAAATTTTCCAGTCGTGAAATTAGTGTATTAAAAGATAGCTAGAGTGGAGATCCCAGTAAATGTGAATTTGGAAGGGGGATAGAGTGCAATAATACACATTATTGGGATGCAATTAGTTCCATCTATGAACACTTCTAATTGGATAAGGATAAAAACTTTCATCATTACAATGATAAAAAAACTATAGCTCATTATTTGAAAGCCTACAAAACAAGCTCAGAGGGATAAGATGGCATCTCAACTCCCCTCTGAGTAGAGGATGTTCTTGCAATTACCATAATTTATCTAGAGCCAAACATAGTTGACCGACAAACTTTTGTCTTGCAGTGGATGGCTATGAAAGAGCGCTTAGTATTTGGACCAAGAAGCCTAAGAGAGTGATAGTACATGATTCCTAAAGGTAAAACTACTTTGACCTGATTAATTTTACTACAGAGTACAATTATCCCATCCGCAGGTACTAAGCTGTTCTCTATTGCTAAAGAGTGGGAAAATTACTCAATCAAATTAACTACAGAAAACTTTTAGCAAGGTAATGGACTGAAGAGTATGTAATGTCAAATTAGTGATTCAAACTAAACAAAAATAAAATCCTTCCTCAGACTACTACGAAATTAACTATTTAAAACAACAATGCACGATACAGTTGACCTTGTAACGACATAACACACGTTACCTGATCATAGTTAAGCTTTTCGTCTGAATTATCTAGTGCAGCAATAGTCCCAACAGGCTGCCCACGAAAGTGCACCAAGGTACGCCTCAAAGCTTCCCAAGCCTCAGCAATCATAGGATTTGGCCCAGGTCCAAAAGGTGACCTAGGGGTAGTGAACCCCGATCTTTTTGATGGTGAAAAAACACCATCAAAGTGGTCCAAAGCGCGGAAGAAATTTTCAGCTCTAGAAGGGGGATGGGGAGAGAAGCCCAGTTGAGTATCAGTAAGGGACCTCTCAAGTGAGCCCTGCCTCTCAACATTCAAGTGTCTTGGCCTAGGTAACCTCGAGAAATCAATGTCTTCCAATTCGGCCACACTACTGAAAGAGTCAACATTTCTTATACTACCACCATGATTAGATACATCCCCAGAAAGTGTTGACATTCTTGAAGGCTGAAGCCTCTAGGTAAATGATTTACAAGCTATTTAGAGGCTCAACAATCTGCAAAGAAATGAGAATTCAGCAGCATGCATTACTGATAAAAGTTATAAACAAGGGGCAGAACTTGAAGTAGCTAAACGAGCCTACAATAGCAGGTACATTAGGCCATTTTGATATGTTATTAATCAAACATTAGCGCCCCTCTAGAGTATGTATGTCAGTTATCAATGAAACCAAAAGCAAAGAAGAAAAAAGCAATTGTGTGTTTCATACAGATCAAGACTAGTACCCAGGGCCAGATGCATTATTAGTTAAGGGTTCAATCGAACCCAGTAATTTTGGCTCGAACCCTATATGTATTAAAAATGCACTAGATAAGTACAAATAATTAACTTAGGAGTTGTAGTAGAATCATGAACTCGAACCCTTAAAGTAATTCAAATCCTGGATCCTCTGCTAGTAGCATGACTCATTAATCATATTCTGCACCGGGAAGAATTGCAGTAGAGGCGTTAATTTACCCAATATAACAACTCAAGAAATGGAGTGCACCTTAGATTCAACAATCACGATAAACTCTTCTTTTATTTTCATAAACCTTGTTACATTTTGTTTCTTCATTGGAACCAAAAAGGGTTGATTTTCACATTCAGATGTATAAAATTCAATAAAATCATGAGATTCCTCAACAACCCATATCAAAATTTCAACCGTAGCCCAAGCCAATGCATGCATGTACTGTTACTACCTTATCTCCGAAAAATCATAAAAAATGAAGAAGACAACAACAACAACTAGTTGACGTTAGGTATATGAATTATCTCTATCTATTAATTTCACAAAAAAAGTATATAACAATAAAGAAGAAATCACGAAAGAAACCATGTCCTTGAATGGGCATTTGAAAACTTACACATACGACGACGTCTGAAAAGCGAGAAAGTGCGAAGACATCAATAGCTTTTGGTGTGTGTTTTTGTGTGTGTGTGTGTGAGAGAGAGAGAAAATGGTGACAGGTTGGTCACAGATCAATGGAGGGTAATGGTTTTTTGGATGGTTGCATTGTGTACGTACACCATAAGCATAAAGGTGGAGCAAAACTCTGTGCTGTCTCACACCGTCACGGAGAGTACGTGAATATGTATGCCCAAATATAAAACCGATCAATCAAATATTTTTTGGCGTTTCGGATTCCTTTCTGTGCTTACTGGCTCTTTTCTTTGGCCTCCACCCGTTTCTTAGTTACAAGAAAATACACATCACTTCACACCATAACAAAAAAGAAAAACTTACGCAAATATTCCAAATAAGTCTCAACTTACCAACCTCTAACCATTAGTCATAGACTTATCAAAACTAGTCAAACACATATAAAAATCGAAAACCCAAAGAAATAAGATTTTTGTGGGTCCCTAAATAAAGAATTAAAAGAAAAAGAAAAAGGAAAAAAAATATGATTGGATGACTTGAAAAGCAATTGTGGGCGGCAACTAACAAGTTGTAAAACCAATTTTGCTTGTTGGTTTTTGGTTGTTACCAAAGTATGCAAATTGCAGATTTACAAGTTGAAGAAACCAATCTTTTGATTGGTTGGAGAGTGCGGCAACTTTTCCTATAAATTGAAGTGTTTCGTTCAGTTTTAAGTACACCAAAAAAGAGAGAGAAGCAACAGAGAGTTAGAGAGAATAATCCACAGATTGTAGTCTGTGAGATAAATAGTGAGTGGGAGTAATATTATAGTGAGGTATTTAAAATAAAGAGTGTTATTTCTTTCGAAGTTAGTAGTCTCTTGACACTACTAAGTTGTAATATTATAGTGGTAATATTGCTCCGCTGAGGTATTGTACTTTACCTTGTTAAAATATTTGGTGTCGTTGTTACTCTCTTGTGTTATTGTGATTTATCGTGGATATTGTTCCTTGGCGGGATTATTTATTTTTTTCCAACAACTTGGTATCAGAGCCATGGCGAATAATAGTCCGCTGTCTTTTTAGTATCCCCGTCTCACAAAAGATAATTATGAGAAATGGTGTCTACGTATGAAAGCCATTCTTGGCTCCCAGGATGTGTGGAAAATCGTAGATAGAAGGTATGCAAAACCCGATAATGAGGAAGCTCTGCCTCAAAATGAAAAAGATGTCTTGGCAAAGACAAGGAAGAAGGATCAACAGGCCCTCACGCTCATCCACCAATGTTTGGATGATGCCATGTTTGAGAAGGTGGCAGATGCTACCACCTCAAAAGAAGCTTAGAAGATTTTACAAAATTCTCTTCAAGGAGTTGACAAGGTGAGGAAGGTAAAACTTCAAACTCTAAGGGCTGATTTTGAAGTTTTAAAAATGAAAGAATCCGAATGCATTTCGGATTATTGTTCAAAAGTGAAGGCTGTTGTGAATCAATTAAGAAGATACGGGGATGACATAGAAGTTGCTCGTGTGGTAGAAAAGATCCTTCGCACTTTAACACCTAAATTTGATTTTGTAGTGTGTGCTATTGAGGAGTCTAAAGATTTAGACTCTATGATGGTGGAGCAATTGGAGGGTTCTTTATAGGCCCATGAAGAAAAGATCAAGAGGAGACAAGAAGTGCCACTGGAGCAACTTCTTAAAACTCAGGCATCCTTTAAGGATTATGTAGGTGAAAAAAACTATCGAGGGATTGGATAAGGACGAGGCCGTGGCGGTCATGGAAGAGGAAGAACTAATATTAACAACTTCAACAATGAAGTTAAAATCCACCAAACATTTAGAGGTCGTGGTCGTGGACAAAGAGGAGGAAGAGGACGTGGCTACTACCAAGAAAATAATGGACAAAGGTATGACAAATCAAAAATTGAGTGTTATAATTGTCATAAATTTAGCCATTACTCTTGGGAATGTCGTAGCAATGTTGAAGAGACAGCTAACCTTGTTAACGACAAGAAAGAAGAAGATGAGTCAACGTTATTGCTTGCACTCAAGGAAGAAGATAGGGATGATTGCAGCTCGTGGTATTTGGACAATGGAGCAAGCAATCATATGCGTGGATGCAAAGAAAAGTTTGTAGAGATTAATAAAATAGTGAGAGGTAATTTGTCCTTTGGTGATACCTCAAAGATTCAAATCGAAGGGATAGGTACGATTCTGATCTCCTGTAAAGATAGTAGTTACACGCTAATTCAAGATGTTTATTATGTGCCAAAATTAAAAAGTAATATTTTGAGTTTGGGCCAACTTCTTGAAAAGGAATATGACATCGACATGAAAAATATGCATCTTTGGCTTAGAGATTCAAGTGGAATTCTAATTGCTAAAGTGCACTTTGGCGTCCTCGAGCTTTTTCTTCAAGATGTTCAATATTGTTTTGTTGGAGGATTCGGCTTGACCGTTACCGACGCAATGATATGGCGTGGAGAGTATTCGCTTGATGTGCCATTTTTCGAAGAACTCGGCGGTCTTTTTTCCGGTGAATTGGGGTCCGTTGTCGCAGCTAATTTCTTTGGGGATGCCGAAGTGGTATATGATGTTTCTCCATATAAATGTGATAATTTCCTGTTCGCGTATTTGGCGAATGCACCTGCTTCCACCTACTTGGAAAAATAGTTAGTTAAAACTAAAAGGAATTGTGTGTTACCTCGTCCTGCTGGAGGGCCCCGACAACATCCATTCCCACTTGATAAATGGCCATGGTGATGTAACCGAGTGGAGGAGCTCGCCTGCTTGGTGTATCATAGGAGCGTATTTCTGACATTGCTCACACTTCTTGATGTAGTAGGCGGCTTCCTTCTTCATTGTGGGCCAGTAGTAACCTGCCCGAATGAGGCATCTAAAGAGGGCTCGGTTGCCGGTATGGGCACCGCAGTGGCCCTCATGTACTTCTTCGAGGACGCGCCTCGTTTGGTTCGGCCCTAGACATTTCACCAAGGGGCCCCCAAATGTTCTTTTGTACAGGTCGTGGTTGATAATGCTGTACCTGGCCGCCTGCATTCGAAGCTTTTTGGCTTCCTTTTAATCCGACGGGAGTACTCCCTCATGCAAGTATGTTATGATGCGGTTGATCCAGTCCCAAGTCAAATTTATAGAGTGTACCTCGAGTTGGTCTATTGACGAGTGGAGGAGGGTGACCACGTTTTCTTTAGTGAGGTCTTTGGTGGCTGTTGCTAATTTGGCGAGGCCATCTGCCTCGATATTTTGTGCTTGAGGTATCTGGTCGAGTTGTCATTCATCGAATTCTGGCAGTAGTTTATGAATTTCTGCCTGGTACTTTTGTATCCTTTGTTCTTTGACTTGGAAAGTCCCTGTGACTTGGTTGACAACGAGTTATGAATCACATCTGAGGACGACTCGTCGTGCTCCGTATTTGAGAGCCAGCTTTAATCCTGCAATTACGGCCTCATACTCGGCATCATTGTTAGTCATATCGGGGCACCATATGGACTGGCGGATAACTTCGCCTGTTGGGACCTCGAGTACGAGTCCCAGTCCAGATCCTGACGCGTTGGATGCGCCATCGGTGTATAGGTACCGTAGATCGGGTTGCCCGAGAGAGGTATGAGAAGCCTCCTGCTCGACCTCGGGCATTATTTTGGCACTAAAGTCGGCGAGTACCTGCGATTTTATCGCTGTTCGCGGCTGATATGTTATATCGTGCTCGCTTAATTCTATGGCCCACTTGGCTAGTCTTCCGACAATTCGGGTTTATGTAGGATGCTCTGCAGGGGGAAGGTCGTTACCACCGATATGGGATGGCACTGAAAATAGGTTCTAAGCTTTCGTGAAGCTATAACCAATGCTAAGGCCAATTTCTCGAGGTGGGGGTACCTCGTTTCGGCGTCGACCAGGGTTTTGCTAATATAATAAATTGGAGATTGCGTACCTTTATTTTCGTGGACCAGCACTGCGCTTATCGCGACTTCTGAGACGGCCAAGTATATTAGGAGGCGTTCGCCAGGTTCTGCTTTGGCGAGCAGTGGGGGCAAAGACAAGTATGCCTTTAGTTCCCTCAAGGCCTCGATGCATTCTGAATTCCACTGGAGCCCGTTATCTTTTTTCAGCACGTTGAAGAATTTGTGGCACCTGTCGGATGACCGTGAGATGAACCTCGATAAGGCGGCTATACGACTGTCGCGCCTCCTTTTTCTCGCGAAATCGGGTTTATGACATTTTGGAGGACAACTCATTCCTTTTGGGAATTGGGTTTGATTTAAAGAGTCGCCACCTAATGATCAGGGTGCATTAGGACACCAAGGAGATTTGATTTGGGTAACCAGAGATTGGGTAAGGGCTTGAAATTATTCTAAGGGGAAGTTGTTAGGCACCCCTCAGAATCCACTAGTGTGGTTTCCGGCCAGACTATTATTGTGAATTTAGGTACAAATAAGTGTAGGCAAATAAAACTTCAAATAAGAGGGGATTTTCACATAATGGTTTACAAATAAACAAAGTTGGAAAGAACTTAGAAGAAAGAGTTTGAAATTTTAGAAGAAACAAAGAAATAAAGGGAAAGGGGATCCTAGGTTTATTAATAATATGGATCACCCCACACAATGCCCGGTAATCACTCCTCAATGAGGGGATACACGTGACATTATCGCGTGGTCATCATATCCATATCTACCCTTCCCACCCCGTTAAGGTATTAAAGTGCGGAATGGTCTCGTTTACTTATTGCATGCTATTACCCGTCCCAATCCTATCAGTCTCGGAGGCATTTAGGACTACTAATCCTAAAGGAAAGGGATGTTAGGCTTATTTGTGGTTTCAAAGGGACAAAATTCTAAGGCGACATACAAAACATGTAATACAGGAAAGCACATAACAAGCAAATGCTCAAATATACCCCCCTTTTAAACAAAGAAGCACGTAATTAGCATGACTTACACATACTGTTTAGGGTCTGATTGA